TCAACAAATTCACTACCACGCAACAATGGAATCATGTACCAGGCAATCTGAACCCAGCTGATATTGCTTCTAGGGGTTGTACTGGTAAAGCCCTGATGGAGAAAAAATGGTGGGAAGGTCCACAGTGGTTGAAACGAGAAGAGAAGAATTGGCCACATTCTACATTCGAAATACCTTCTGAAGTGGAGAGTGAAAGGAGACAGGTATCAGTTTGTAACGTAGCATGTGAAAATGAGCACTTCTCTATAAATCTCAATTATTTTTCTAAGTACACAAAAATAATTAGGATGGTTGCTTAGATGTTGAGATTTCACGATCAATTAGTGAAAAAGGATATGACAAAAACTATTGAACTGAGTTATGATGAAATAAAGAGAGCGGAAATCAGACTTTTCGGTATTATTCAGAAAGAAAGTTTACAAGACCTAGAAAAAATGAGAAATTTACAGATATTTCAGGATGATCAAGGAATTTTGAGAGTAAAAACAAGACTGGATTTTGGAGATTATCCCAATGATTTCAAATTTCCAATACTTTTGCCTTCCAAACACAAAATAGTTGAAAAACTCATTTTTCAGCAACATCATATGAATAGTCATGCAGGTGTTCAAACATTACTGTGCATTTTAAGGGAAAAGTACTGGATTCTGCGAGGAAGAAGAACTGTGAAAGGAGTGATAGCTAAATGTATTGTTTGCAAGAGATTCACGAGCAAATCAATCGAAACGCCATATGCACCACTTCCAAAAGAGAGAATCAACACGGCAGCAGCTTTTCAAGTTACTGGTATTGATCTTGCTGGACCGTTATTTCTGAAAAATCGTGAGAAGGTTTGGATAGTGCTGTATACATGTGCAGTATACCGAGCGATACACCTAGAACTTGTTAACACCCTATCAACGGAAAGTTTCATTTCAGCTTTGAGGAGGTTCATTGCCAGACGAGGAAGAGTATCCATCATATATTCAGATAATGGTACGAATATGGTTGGAACAAATAATCTATTGAAGAAACTCGACTGGAATGAGATTCAAAATTATTCTACAGTAAGGAATATCAAATGGATGTTCAATCCTCCCACAGCTGCTTGGTGGGGAGGATGGTGGGAAAGATTGGTCAGAGTAGTCAAGGAACTCCTCCGAAGGAATTTGGGTAAAGCCACTATCAATTATGAGGAAATGCTAACCATATTATGCGATTGTGAGGCTATTATAAACAACCGACCATTGACATACGTTTCGGATGATCAAAATGAACTCAAACCACTTAGTCCGTCATTATTTATTCAAGATCTGCCGAACAATGAGACACCTGATCTAGACAAAATTGATAGACATCATCTAGTCAACAGACGGAGATACTTGCAAAGAATTAGAGATAATATGCGATCTCGGTTTAGGAAGGAATACCTAGCGGAACTTGTAAATATGGGTCCCAAAATGGCAAATTCGTTGAAAGTAGGAGATATTGTCTATGTTTCTTCAGACAATACGAAACGTTTGAACTGGCCCTTAGCGAGGATTTTGGAAGTTATTCCTGGTAGAGACGGAATAGCACGAGTTGCTCGAGTCAAGATTCAACAAGGGATTATTTTTAGGCCATTTCAGAGACTGCATCCATTAGAGATTTCAGCAGAAGAAGATGGGAAAATCTTAGTATCTACAAAAGATTTGGAAAAAGATGTACATTGCGAATCGAGAACGATAGATGAAGACACCGGAGAAGATGACGAACGGAAAGGAGAACAGAATGAAGAACAGAAGACAGTGGTCACGAGAAGCGGACGCGTAGTTAAAACACCAAAACGTTTCGATTTTCATTGTTGATTTTTAATATTTGGTGTTTATATTATTTTGCAATTTCACATTTTGATCCCTCAATTGCAAAAGGGGGAGGATGTTGAGAATATCATTCATTATTGTGTTCTGGTTCTCATCACTATGTATACGGAGTTGTTGATTTTGGATAGTGACAAGATATTAAAAGAAGTCATTAAAACACGTCAAAAGTTCCTTTGAATTTATTATTTTCCATCCCAATTACAACAATTTCCTCAACAAAAAAAATGGAAAAATACACAGAAAAAAGTTGTGGCCATTCAAAACCATTGCATTGGTGAGCGCCCTCTAATGGCTACAAAGAAAAGGTTTCCGTATTCGGGTTCCGCATCTCAAATAGCTCCTGCCTACTAATTTTTGAATTGATTCGTTAAGAAATTGGGATTGCTGGGCTGTGTGCACGTGTATATACAGTGTGTCCCACTTACCATGCTGACCATGGGTATCTTTTTAACAGTGAGAGATACGAGGTCGGTTAAATGACACCAAATGTGGAGTTTGTCAAGGCCAACTATAATGTGAAAAAATATTTTGATAAAATCTATTCGTTTTTGTTTTATACGCAAAAAACAGATTTTGATCATTTTCATGTCTCCTCCGTAACTTCTTTATTTATGAAAATATTCAAATAGGAATTTCACATTCTTATGGCAGTTTTTCGAGGTGATTTCGAAAAAAATATCAAATTTATACCAACTCTTCTAGAATTTGAGATATCAGCACCAACTTTATTTTTTCAAATGTAGGTCATAGCTCACTATGACTTAGTTACAAATAACTTTTTTTTCTCTTACGGATGATATGTCGCAGTAATAGTTTTGTGTTGATAACAACGGAGTTATCGTCATTTATACAAAAACAAAAAATTATTTAGAAGCCGCCATCTTGAATTTATGAATTTCAACGAAAGAATCATGATCTCTGACCTCAAAAACCCCCACTTACCAATTTTGAATGGAATCGGACCAAATCTTGTCCGCCATCTTGGAGCAGCCATTTTTTTTTAATTTCAACAAAAATTCCATAATGTATTGTCACCGGAATTATGAACACCTGCCAAATTCCAAGTTAATCGGAGCTATGGAATTTTTGTTGAAATTAAAAAAAATGGCTGCTCCAAGATGGCGGACAGGATTTGGTCCGATTCCATTCAAAATTGGTAAGTGGGGATTTTTGAGATCGGAGATTATGATTTTTTTGTTAAAATTTATAAATTCAAGATGGCGGCTTCCAAATAATTTTTTGTTTTTGTATAAATGACGATTACTCCGTTGTTATCAACATAAAACTATTACTGCGACATATCATCTGTTAGAGAAAAAAAAGTTATTTGTAACTAAGTCATAGTGAGCTATGACCTACATTTGAAAAACTAAAGTTGCTGCTGATATCTCAAATTCTTGGAAAGTTGGTATAAATTTAATATTTTTTTCGAAATCACGTTGAAAAATTGCCATGAGAATGTTAAATTCCTATTTGAATATTTTCATAAATAAAGAAGTTACGGAGGAGACATGAAAATGATCAAAATCTGTTTTTTGCGTATAAAACAAAAACGAATAGATTTTATCAAAATATTTTTTCACATTATAGTCGGCCTTGACAAACTCCACATTTGGTGTCATTTAACCGACCTCGTATCTCTCGCCGTTAAAAAGATACCCATGGTGAGCATGGTAAGTGGGACACACTGTATACCAAAGAAGGGAAGTGTTGTATTTCGTGTAAGATAATTTATTCAAATTTATATTCGCAGCAGAGCGCCTTCGACTGTTAAGTCATCATCAGTGCATACCTGTAAGTAAGTAATCTGCTATTAGGTATTGGATAGAAATTGAAAATTCGAAAAAAAAATTCTAAAACATTTTTTTTTGAAAATCTTTTTGGAAATTTTTTAATATTGAAAAGAAGGTAAAAATGAATTGGTGACTTGTTACTTGTTGATGAACTCTTGATTATGAAAAATACATTATCATAAAATCGAAATTTGAAATAGTTGAATATGAATTTGGAAATTGATTTACTCGCCAGGTAACAAGGAAATTAGTCCATAATATATCTCTGGTCCAGTTTAAAACTAACTATATTATGGTGAAATACGGTACAAACATATTAAAATGTGTTTCCCAAAAAGGGGTGAAATACAGATTAAATTTTGTTAAGCAGCCATTGTCGCTGCGATATGTCGTGTTGAAGTGAACTTGATGAGTGACGGACCTTGATTTAATTGTCATTGAACGTACTGAACTAATGGAGGCAAATTTGAAGTTAACATGCATGACATGACATCCAAGACATGACATGTGTCAAAGGAAAATCTAAGAATGTTTATTATGAAACATTAGTGAAGATGAACATAATGAAATCGGGAAGAATTAACCAAGTCCCTAAGGAGCGAATGTTTTGTTGATCTAATGAGAACCTAACTAACATGTCACTCAATAGTCTGGTTTATCAAAATGTAACAATTCAACAATACACCAGCGAAAACCCAGTTGAGCCTAATGAGAGCTCACGCAAGTTATTCCAGAGGTAATCAAAAGTTGAACAAATTCAACTGTCTGACAACCTATTAACAACAAACAACAGTCGATAGCGCTCTGCTACGAATATAAATTTGAATAAATTATCTTGCACTAAATACAACACCTCCCTTCTTTCGTTAAGAAATGTTCATACATTTTGAAAAATTCGATTTCTATTGTATAACTTCACCACCCTGTATCTCGGAAATAGAGTAATTTCGAACTGAGGTAAGTTGCTTTGAATCGGTTTAGTTCAATGTGCTGTGATTTTGTATAGACCTTTCAGGGATAATAATTTTTGTCAGATTGACATTCGTTGATTGATTGTCTTCTCTCATGACATGAGTGAAATTCACCTCGCCACATTAACATTTTTCAAACTTCTAATGAAAAATTGCTACAAAACTTTTCTTAGTTTGACAAACCTCTTGATTGACGTCATGTACGTTCATGTATTGTCAATTTCCACTTTTTTCATATATTTATTTGTGATAAAGTAGGAAGTTGTTGTTTTTCTCCTGTCATCTACCATTGTTGTTTATTGTATTGAACACTTGTGAAAATGACCGAATATTTTGACTATATTGTAGTACATATACATGTATTTCTATCAGATAAATTAGATGTTTTTTTGCAGCCTGAAAGGATAGATCCTCAGGGCAACCCCTCTCAATATGATATTAGATCAGACGTGTGGAGTTTGGGAATTTCCCTAATCGAGTTAGCTATAGGAGATTTTCCATATCCAAAATGGGGAACACCATTCGAACAACTCAAACAGGTTGTAGCTGATGACCCGCCAAGACTGCCTGCAGGACAATTTTCACCTGAATTTGAAGATTTCATCTCGAGATGTCTTCAGAAAAGGTACATTAATCGGCCGAACTACAGTCAGTTGTTGCAACACAGCTTTTTAGTAAAACACAAAGAAATGAATACGGACATAACGTCCTTCATATCTGAGGTACTTGATCTTCCTGAAAACCCCTGAGATTCATGTTGTATTTCTTAGTTTCTATGTGGATATTTTAATTTTTGTTCTATTGATGATTTTGAGCTTTTTAATTTAGATTTTGTTATTGATTTTAATTTCCAATTTTAATTACTAATTTTAATTTCACGTTTTAATAATATTTTACTAAATCTGTTTTTGTTTTGGATTTTTCAATTTAATTGGTCCGATGATTTTACATAAAAATTTGCTCACGTTTTTACTGAATCTTTTATCAAATAATATTTCAGTTTAAAAAAATTTAGGTCACTGTACTTGCATCCCACTAGAAGTCTGCCAGCCTAAATTATTGCAAATATTTTTGAATTATGAGATAATTTTTTAGTTATTACTAGTCATTCATTTGCAATTGATTTCATCAAACCATTTACCTACTACCAATATGTAATGTGAAACATTATGACACTGATTTTAGTTTCACTAGGCAGAATCCATCATTTTGTGTTCTCCCAATCAATTTTGATTACCAATTTGATTCAAATTATTACTTGGGACATTGCATAGCAGTGAACTTTTCCTACCTATGCAGTAAAAGTACACCTTTTATGTCTATTAAATGCCATCAAGTCACTTTTAATGTCATTTGGAGAAAAATAACTATTTTGGTAGTAGGTAAAATATTGTACTATATTCGTATCATAATATGAATTTTTACAATACATGTATTGTAAATATGTATCTTAATAAGAATAAGATGTTATGAGTTCATGTTTCTGAGAATTCCCCTTGATTCTTCATGTTATTATAATTTCCACAGTCCCATTTATTCTGGTCATTCTTAAATGATGACACACCATGACCGATGGTCCAATATCATGAACAATCAAACCTTTTTTTTCTTGAATCTCATTATTGCTTATTAAAACTATACATTCAAAGAGTTTTCTGTATAACAAGTGGGGCCCAATGCATGGGAAAATCATACTCCACCACAGTGTACCTTGGAACAAAATATTTTTTATTTGTATTCCAATTTCGCTTGCATAATTATGAATAATTATACAGTATGGTGGAGATGTATGGAATAAATTCATTATCTCTAACGCATATGAATTTGAAGAAAAATCCTGAGACAGGTCGATTTTTATTTTCAAATTGACATCTCTTGATATACATACAGAGTTTGTAACGTCATTCGCGTAGTTTCCAAGATAAACAATTAAAAAATAAAAATCGACAAGTTCACTCCAAAAAAGTATCTTGAATAATACATTTTTGCAGTGCTCATTCACTGTCAGAATTACATCCACGAAGATAACAGCAAACATGTTTTATTCGAAATAATTAAAATTTTCCGGTGGGGCATCGAACACTAAAAACGGAAATATCTCTAAATTCATTATCTCTAACGCATATGAATTTGAAGAAAAATACTGAGACAGGTCGATTTTTATTTTGACATTTCTTGATATACATACAGAGTTAGTAACGTCATTCGCGTAGTTGTGGTGACGTCATCGATTATTTTTTTAAATGGAAACATCCCCTTTTAATTTTATTTTTTGAAAGGTATATTCATTGTCAATCCAACAATACACTGATATTAGCAAAATAAAGTAATACATGGTGAGAAAAAATTATTAATTATTTTATATTTACAACGAAAACAATACAATAAATGAAAAATTCGACCTGTATACATCAGAAACAATGTATATCGTCATTCACATTGTATCATTGCAGAAGGTCACCAATTCGAACATTTATTGTGACGGTTTCCGTTGTAATATAAAATAATTGATAATTTTTTCTCACCCTGTATTACTTAATTTTGCTAATATCAGTATATGGTTGGATAGACAATGAATATACCTTCCGAAGAATGAAATAAAAACGGGATGTTTCTATTTGAAAAAACAATCGATGACGTCACCAAAACTACGCGGATGACGTTACAAACTCCGTATGTATGTATATCAAGAGGTGTCAATTTGAAAATAAAAATCGACCTGTCTCAGGATTTTTCTTCAAATTCATATGCGCTAGAGATAATGAATTTATTCCATACATTTCCACCATACTGTATATGTTTGATGATTTTATTTTTGTTGAAATTTCGGAATGTCCGAACAAGTTGTCTCCTCATGGAGGTTAATGTTTTCTGTTCAAATCAGAAATGTAGTTCTTTTCATCAAATATAAAAACTCGAGGAGTTTTTTCATTTCATGTTATTTCAATGTATCCGAATTCATTGAAAAGACAAATTTGAATAAGCAAGATAAATTTTTGGATTTGACCCTGTCTCACACTCAAAACTTATTTTGTCAAATCATATTAAAAATAGTAATTTAATTTTCTCCTGTTGCACTGTGAATTTTTTCTTTTGATAATCTTTGTCGCTATTGGACTTCTTTTTGAGACACTCAATATAATGTATCTATATACTGATTTATTATTCATGATCATATAAGAAGGTTTGCTGAATTTATAATCAATCAATTTTCAATTAAATTTTGATATTCAGATTGCATGAAACACTTGCAAGCAAAAAATATCTTGACTGATATTTTCAGTCTCTATTATTTTATGCGAGCTAGGGTATGATCGATGGTACCTTGGAAGTATGAAGTATGCAGGAAAATTCCCACCACGATTAATGAACCATTTTTTCTCTAGGATACCAAACAGCGAATTAAATCGGAAATTTGACGTTTCAATGACATATTCATTTATTTTATTTATTATTCATTCATTGAATCAAGTAAAATCTACGTTTTGTCATCGAATATCAATTACATGTATATAAATATTTCATATTGTGACACATAGTGACCTGTGTGTGAAAGGGATGAATTATTTCACTTATAAAATTGTTTTTCCACAATATAAGTACTTGAACTGAAAACAATTCATACAATAATGAGAATAAATCAAAATAAAGAAAAATAGAGTTGATTAAAAAAGATCATCGATTTTTTTCGCATTTTCTATAAGCCAACTTTCAACTTCTTTTTTGAAATTCATGATATTTAGGCGTGTTAATTTTGATGGTATTTTATTATAAATTTTAGATCCCATAAAACTATAATGTATTTTTGATATTAATATTATGATTTTCTACCACTTGTATCGTAACCCGAAGTTGATATAAAATGGAAGAATATGATTTGTTTCATTCTTAACTGGTATTTTCATGAAACTACAATAGGTCAATACGTCGAAACTGCGACGTGAACTATATGAAAATCAAATAAATAAATGAATTTATTTAATTTTCAACCAAAATCTGGTGTGAATTTTCTTAGCGAGAGCGAATACCACACTAGGGTAAATTATTTCCGGATTTTTTTTCCAGCTTTGAAAATTATTCCTAGTCGATGTCAAGTGAAAATTTGGTTACTTCAGTTATCGCTTATGATCTTACAATGTCCAGCGATGCAACGTTGCAGTTCACACCAAAAAGTAGCATTATCTTTGATAATTTCAAATTATGGTTTTGGAGTTGATAAATGATTTTTTTCCATATGATTCTTCATTGACAACATAGCTCTAATCTAATGTTTATTACTGCTGTATCTGAATTCGTGGAAACTTGAAATTTCGAGCGTAGCACATACCAAGGTTCTGTGTATTAGTTTTATGAGTAGATGTTGGTTCTGCATTATACAGGGTCGCATAAAATTCGTGATTTGACCGCTAAATACAAAATGGGGTGAAAAGTCATTTATTTGTATATTATCCAATGAAAGATGATCAAAATCTCTTTAAAATGGTAGTTCATGTTCCTATACTCAAATAGTGAGGTTCCTGATAAAAAACCAAGTTAGTGTATGTTTCGGAACTTAGCTTATTTATCGTAGATCGATGAAATGTAATGATCAACATGACGATATGAAATTTGGCGCACACTAATTTCCAACTCTTCATACCTCTGAAAGGGATTTCAACTCTTCTTTCAGATTATTCCATATACAAAATACTTTTTATCCAAACGTTGCTCAGTCACGAAATCATCTCCACGTCCTGGTTTGAGCAACACTCATTCAGAACAAACGTTTTCTTGATATCCTACTCCCAAATTTCTTACGCATCCAGATACCACAGTAAGGAACATTGAATTAGAGCTATGTTGAAAAAAATGGAAAATTATAATTAACTCCCAAACCGTTAGAGATGGGTACAGGAAAGTATCAGACAAAATGATATAGCAAATATTTACGAATCCACAAATGCAATAATACACAAGGTGTCTCATTTGAAATATCAATGATGTTGCTACTTGTTGGTATTTGTAGCATGGTAGCATTATCATTGAATGCGTAACAAAATTTTTCGTACACGTCTAAGTTACCACCGACCGTGATACACCCTATATTTCAGTTCGGAAACGTACTCGACCTATCAACTGAACTTATATCAATAATGAGAATATTTGATAGTAGGTACTCAATCAATAATTCAATAAGTAATAACTGACAATCTTAATTTCGAATCAATATTTGAAAAATATCTTGAAAATGCATTGAAAATTTATTCAACAGGCATTCTTAGTCAAATTAGGAAATGAGAAATCAACTTCTTCAGATAATGTTGAGAAATCAATGATCATCTAAGCAATTAGCGTTATTATGGAATCCCAATATGGATTTCATATCACGACAGTGATGTAAATAAAGAAACTCCACTGCAACTTTTTGACATAACGGGAAGAATTCAATTTATATTACAGAATTAATTAAACGATTAAAAATATGATTTTGTGGCTTTGCAGAAGATTTTTGAAAATGTGAGACTTCTGAAAAAGCTCGGACCCATGTACCTGATATGTATTTGGTATCCAAATAAATGAATGAATATATAATCAATTTTTTTCAACTATCGAGATTATCTTGAGAAATAGAGCATATGGTTTTCAAAACCTAATGAGATAATCTCAGCATATTTTCCTGCCAAAATACCAGTCATTCAGGAAATAATATTATGTTCTCTAAAAATGCTCTTGTCAATTAATTTTGAAATAATGAAAAAATGAATTAGAAATGTTATTTCAGTTCTTTAGAGACTTACTTTCCAGCATCTTTACTGTAACACTTGAGAGTATCAAGTTTCGACTAGAGGTATAATATTTAAGGAAAAGACTAAAAAAAGCTTGTACAGGGAGGACGTAAATATGGCCCTCTTGTTAACGCTTGAACGATTTGGGTTGAAAAATTAAATTAGCCATGTTGAAAGGTCCTAAAAATACTACTACGAAGAAGTGATTGTGCTAGGCCCTAAAACTTTTCAAATGGTGTTGGGAGTGGATTCAAGAGATATGTAGATTCTCTTCCCAAGTGATTTCTATCAGTTTGTTTTTGAAAAATACAAAACATAGGATTTCACTTATTCCTCTAACTTGCTGTTACGGTTATGTACAGGGTGTCTCCTTATATTTTGACCCCCACCTACAGCTTAAACTACACGAGGTGGAAAAAAAAACTTTAAATATGACAGTTGTAGGGTTTCATCTGTACTATTTTTTGGCACTCCCTAAATAAACAAATGCGAATCGCAAAATATAAAACTAT